ATGAGGTCACTAGTTGTTTTTAGTGTGCTATTTGTTGGGTCGTTTTTAACCTTTTTTATAAGTACTTACATCCGACAAAAGTTCTTGTATTTTAGAATTATAATCTGACGTATCCATGACTACCGTGGCGTTTCCCTTATCTGCGCGGTGAATCGTAAGTTCGTGTTTATTGCGTAGGTTCTTTAACGCTATAAATTCGTCTTTGGGAAGATTCGGTTTAGGCACTGAACATCGACGTAACATAGACGAGATGTCTAGACGTATCGCCTCCAAATCTTCTTTCCGCATATTGTTTTTAAATAAACAGTCCTCGACACTACAGATAATTTCTTCGTACGGTAATTTGCGGGGTGTAATTGCAAAGTTGAGGCCTTTGGATAAAACCCTAATTGTTGCATCATCCAGTCATCCAGTGTTTGTTTTGACAGATTATAGAGCGCGATTAATCTATGATCTGTGTTTGTCAATGGTTGCTTTCGGTTCTGGCATTAATTCAGATGTTTGACAATTGACTTGTTCGTTAATTTTTGATATTTTTCTATATGTTTGTTTTTGCATTCATTAATGGTAGGAATCCTTTATGTGTGCTCTTGTATGTCCCCTGAGCGGTGAGAGTATTTTCGCTAAGTGTTGAGCCAATCTGTAAGTTGGTGAATCGATTTGGCTCACTATGGGACGTAATGGAGCATTGGGCTTGTGTATTTTGGTAACCCATACAATTTTGGTGATTCTCTCCGGGAACTCTGCAGTCTGTGAACACGTACAGGATCGCCCCCGTTACTACATCAGATTTGATAAACCGCAAATCCTCGCTAAAGAACACCGATTCCTTCAAAGGATGATTCGCGAGGCTATTGCAATTAAAAAACATCCTACTTTCAATAGAGAAGATGGCTGGGTGCTACCATCTGCTTGGGATCTTATAATAAATAAAATTAAATCCCAACCCAATCATACAACTGCAAGACTTCAAGATACCATAAGTTCATACTGCATAGATCGGAACAAAAGTTAAATTTTAATCTATGGTAACCGCGGTTAACTATGACATATGGACGTTGAACATCTCAGTCCCGCCCGTGACCATGAGTGCTGTAAAGCGTTCGAAACGTCGGGTATTTAAAAAGTTAAATATACGCGATAAATTCCGTAAAAATTAGTATTATTTCACTGTGACATTGTACTAATATAAGTCAATATGTAGAATTAAGGTACACTAATAAGGGTAGAGAGATGACATGTAAGTACCTCAAGCAGAGTCTTTTGCACTAGAGGGGTTCCTCAAGGGTTTATCCTGGGTCCACTGTTCTTCATTGTCCTTATTAACTATATGATAAATTATATTAAAACTAATTAACATAATGTAGAATTTTTCGATGATGATGCAAATGCAGTTCTATGTGTCAAAAATATTGAGGAATTCGAAATAAAAGATAATCTAGCGTAGACATTATTTACTAAGTGAGGCACCATCAACAATCTTATAATAAATGAGAGCAAAGCTGAAGTGATGCTATATAAGTCGAAAAGTCGTAACTAGGGCTTCCAAAATTACGGATATGTTAATTACGTAACTGATTACGAATTTTGGTGGTCGAATTACGTAACTACGTAATTTCTAAGATATTTTTGAAATCCAATGTTTTATTTTATAGGTAGCAATGGGTAATGTAAGAAGTGTACAAGAACTTTGATTAAATCAAAGTTTTTATTGAATACCAATCATATAACTTAATCTCAAATCACAACACAAAGATATTAGATAAATTAGATTAGATAGATTTATAACAAAATAAAGAGATCTTTTTCCTTAACAGAATGCTCTTTTACTTATTTGAATTTTCCTGAAAATGAGATCTCATAAACGACAACGCGTTTAGTGTTTTATCGCTTAAGGCCGAATAGACGCGAATGACCTTGCTCGTTTCGCAGCAAACCACGCGCCGCCCGTACGCTTTGTTTATATAGCAGTATCTGATTGACAGAGCTTTGCTCGGTATTTTTCGCTCGATTTTTTTTTAATTCGTGTGTTTTGGAAATTATATTTAGATACAAATTACATACTGATGAAATATAAATAATATTTTTTGATCTTAGCGACATAACACAAAAAACGGAACTGGTTATTTGAATAAAAAATCATGAGTGCAATTATTTTAATTTAAATTTTCGTGTTTTTAAAAAATACTAAAAAAAAGGGCTCGAAAAAAATAGATCTTCTCAAAAAAAGAAAGGAACTTGAAAAAAAAATTAAAAAAGTCGGTCAGTCGGTCTGGGCTCGAACCGGGTTTTACGATTCTGTCACCGCCCATTATATCAATTAAGCTGTATATAATCATTAACAATCTGTCAAAATTTACCTTCTTATTCTAACGATATTGTAGCAGCTTTTCGTTGCCTAAAAACACGGACAAAAAGACATTTTCTAAAAATAAATCCTAGCTAGATCGATTTTTTATCCCCGAAAATCCCTGGACACTAAATTTTATGAAAATAGTTGGAGCCGTTTCTGAGATCCCGATTATATATATATATATATATATATATATATATATATATACATACAAGAATTGCTCGTTTAATAGTATAGGATAATACCTATAATCAAATCCGTACGGGCTTTGGTTATATTATATTTGACTGAGCTAGCTCAGTATGCAGAGTAATGAACGACACAGAGAGCATTGCTTACTTCTTAAATAAATTTTTCTTATTTATAATATTAGTTTCTATAGATTATAAATTCTGTACTTTATTCGTTACAAAATATTGTTCGAAAAGTTATTGAATTGATAACGATTTTTTTTTTCTTAATTGGTGCATAGTACGTAAAGAACCTCATATAACTGAAAATGTTTGTTCTTGTGAGTCTTACAAGATGCCGTAATGCAAATTGCATAAATAATAAAGAAAAAAAAACTAAAAAGTCGGTGATTGCCCCATAGTGGGGATAGGTACTGTGTATGTAAATTCTCACAAGACTACTCCGACTGGTCAACCACTTCACATCCGAAGTATTTCAGTTTTTCTTAATTATGTACTTACCCCATGCTTTCGGACAATATATTGACTATGACGTTATTTGCGGTCTCTGTGCTTGCACTATTCTGTACATTCTTTTCCGACTGGGTCTTGATATTTACATTTTTCGTGTTTCTCACTTGAAACTAGAAAAGTATAAATGATCAGTTTGGCTAATGTAAATGATCAAAAATGCAACCTATTAGGCAGCCTCAAACAAAAAATTACTATTAAGTATTAACCTCAAAATACAACCTTCGAGCAGCGTTCATGCGATAAACTCTCTTTGTTTTACCACTTAGGTAACATTTATTTCTTTTCCTATCCATATTTACATTTATAGTCACTTAAACGCGTATAAAACACTAAATTAACGATTTTCGCTACAGACACATCGACTCGAGCCGTGGTAGCTCAGTGGTTAACGCTCGCTGTAAATATAACAGAAAGCGAGTAACCCGGGTTCGATCCCCGCCGGCACCAATGAAATTGTTAATTGCAATTTTAAGTGCTGATTTACCACGTGCTCGGCGGTGAAGGAAAACATCGTGAGGAAACCTGCATGTCTGAGGAATAAGAAAAAAAAATATTTGGAAGACATGTGAAGTTCGTCAACACGCATTTGGGCAGCGCGGCGGACACTTCCTTGCCCTAAACCCTCTCAGAAATGAGGGGAGGCCTGAGCCCAGCAGTGGGACGTATATAGGCTGTAACTTTACTTTACTTTTTTTACACATCGACTGTTACCTTACGCCACACGTCGAAGCGCCTGGTAATTTATTACGGCAAACTTTTATCTGGCAATATACGATATTATTATTAGGTGTTTTTAATTAAAACGAATTACGTTAATAAATAATATTTTGTATCGAAAATAAAGATAGCAGGTACCTTCGGAATCACAATACAAACATTTTTACGTAAAAGAATTTTTCCTAAATTAAAATTCACAGAGTTTTGGAAGAACAATAATTTTATATATCATTTCTTAACATTTTTTATTTGTAGGTATATTCATTTATTTTAAAAATTTTAAAATGACGGTCACCTTGTGAAGGACCCGAACAAACCTAGAAAAATGTTTTAAAGCTTAGAATTACTTCAGGTCAAACTACTTCTAGTGAAGAGAAATACATTAATTTTCGCCGGTTCTCTTCGTATTCGGCCTTAATGAACTTCTTAATTTACTACATAGATAACCAGCTGAAGAAAAAGCACGTTCAGCTTTCACACTTGTTGGTATAATTGATAGTAAATAATTATACGCTGCTGTTAGGTAAACTCCACGACCACCGCCAGCACTATCACAGATGCACATTTCCACTCTAACAATGGACTAAAGATCTGTGTTAACCGTAGATTTGTTTACCTGTGAAGTGTCTTTACATATCTCTTTTTCTAATTCCTGGGCCACAGTTAACTCTTCGTCACTGGAGTCAGTATGTCCTGTGCTTATTTGTTGTATTGGACTTTGACTTGTCTGTGCAGATGTTGTGTTAGTTGTTAATTTCAGCCTTTCTAATAATCTTGTAATATATGTCCTTATATAATCTGTCTTCGGTTTTGTGAAGGTTTCTGTTGATATAGTTTCGTAAAATTGTTCATTGTTATGCAAATATTGTAAAATACCAGATACACTCAAGCCTTTCACTGAGTTCGTTGTGCTGATGATCAAGTTTTTAACATAAACTGAAGAGCAGCATCTGCCGTCAATAAGTTTGAATCCCGGCGACACAAAGACATCACAGTTGTTTTTATAACATCTAAACTATGATGAATATCGTACAGGTCTTGGATTTCTTTTTCTGTAAAATTTATATTTGATTTCAAATCCAGTAATGCGTTCATGACACTTGATTTTAATTTTAAAAATAGGCCAATCATATCCGATAAGCTGTTCCACCTAGTCTTGCAGTCGAGCATAAGATCTAGGCCCTTTCCACATTCTTCTATAGAGTATTTATACTACAAGTCATTTTTCAAGGGTGACTTTTTAAAAGATTTAACCAAATCTCGTACTTTTTTATAGTATCTTTGTACAGAAATTCAGATTTTGGAATTCTTGGTACTTCGATATCAAATCCTCCATAGTTTTCTTCAGAACCTTCAGAGTCGTAATCCAGTTCTTTATCTTGTTGCTCTGGGTTGGGATTGGGCGTTGACTGGTTCTTTGACTTATATAGCACATCGAGAACCGCAAGTTGTATGCCGTGGGCGAAACACAATTGATGGTGGCCGTCAAAATTTTTGCCCATTTTAACCATTACGCTGGCTCCGTCTGTTGTGAAAGCAACTATGTCTTCGAGGCTAAGTCCGAAGTTGCTCAAATGTTGTTGTATTAGCTGAGTTCCTACATCTGCTGGCATTGAACCTTTTATTCTCACCAGACCCAAATTTTTGTAACTAGCTGGTTCGAGATCTTTACTATGGATATTTATATTCATATATCTTTTATTTCGGGTAGAGGTCCACTCATCAAATGTCATTGTAAATCTAATAAAAGACGTATCAGTGCGTTTTTTGTATTATCACGTAGCTCTAAAACTATCCTGGTTATAGTTGTTGGCGATTTCGGTAGATCATAGCCGGATTTTTTGAAAACATGCCTTAGGTCTTCAGAAGTATAAAATTTGCTCAACGGGATACCATCCGATGCTGCCATTCTAGTCAATCTTAACTCCATGGAAGAGTCGCTTACATAATAATCCGTGAGTTTAGTTTTCTTTTTGGGTTCTTCATGTGGGGCCGGGGCGCCCTTCCTTTTTTCTTGAATTTGAGCACTATCAGACTCTGATGTTGAAGTACTCGCTCGTGGCACTTCAGTGATATGTTTGGCCCGCAAGTGAGTATGTAATGCTCTAGTTGCACCACCAGGCGTTTTTAAAACTTTTTTTTTGTGTTTACACTCGACGTTTTGTCCATTATCGGCCCTTAGAAAATGTTCCCAGATTGAAGATGTTGTCCGTTTGTTTAAAAACTCCTTGAAAACTGTCTTCTTTGTTGACGACCTAAAACAATTAGGTAAAACAATTTAATTAACAACTAAATAGTAAGTAAGTATGTAGGTAATATTTGATATAGCACTCTCTAGTCCCCCAACTATATCTATACAAAAAATCATGAACTGTTGCTCCGCTTTGACGTGGAAAAAGGACAAACAAACAAAAATATTTTTATAAAATAAACCGCCTTCAAAACTTTAATTTATTAATGGATAAGTGAAAGGGAGATAATAAAGATGCCAACTATTTTTTTACGTCGGTGCTAGCCTATATATTTAATTATCGTCGAACGAAATGATATTTTTTGAGATACGCGCGGACAAAACTAACATACAAACGTGCGACTTAAAAGCTTAAAAACTCGCAACTCGCACCCAAACGTTTGTACCTATGCCACATTAGTTAGATTCAATAATAAAACAATCATATCACAATTTATACTCAGTCTCACCGTTTGAAAAATAAATAAAATAACAGATTTTATTCCAGTACTTACATATTTGTTGTGGTTCCATACGTTCATACACTAAATTAAATCTCTCCAGCGAAGCAGTGTTCAAAATTACACATCAGTCACTTAACAAAAAAACTATCGACTAGGTCAATTGAACCTGATGACAGACAAATGAGTACTGACTTTCTTTCATACATTAAAAAAAATCAGAGCTAATCTCACACAGAAAGACGCGGAGATTCCCTGTGACCTATTGTTTACCAAAATTAAACTCTATTACTTACGTGTCAAAGAGAATTATTGTCCTACGTTATCCAAGACTGAAATATAGCGCGGGGAATTACCGAGAGCTACAGATTATATTCCGGATTGAATTTAATCTCTACGGTGGAATACCCGCTCGTTCTGTTTCAATGTTGGCTGGGTTATCATGTCATACTGTTTAAAAAAGAGGATGTTGTATTTAATAAGTCCCTAAATTGATTTATATATTATTTTTATTTATTATTAAAACCCTTCACCTAGCAGTAGTGGGTAGAAATAGGCTGATATGATGATGATGATAATAAGGACTTATACTTACGTAATTACGGATTTAAACCCTTCAGTTACAGACTTGTCAGAAGTTTAATTTCTTTTGCGTAATTACGTAATTACGGAATGGAAGCCCTAGTCGTAACCTAGATAGAATTAAGGTCTGTTGAATGTAAGGTAACGTAGAACAAGTAAATATAATCAAATTTATATATATATATATATATATATATATATATATATATATATATATATATATATACTCACTTTTAAACTGGAGGGCCGAGCTAACTTCCATAGAAGCTACTATTAATTCAGCATGCTATGCACTTCGAAGCATACGCGATGAGCTAACTACAAACACTAAAAACTGTATACTATATGCACTAGTTAAAAGTAAGTTGCGCTACAGTGCGAGCTATGGATAGGGCTATGCTCGGAGTTCTCCGCGTGATAAACTTAGAAATGAGGATATTTGCAGTAGAACTAAAGTGAGCTACGTAGCCCAACAAATTAGTAAGCTAACGTGGAAATGGGTCAGCCATGTAGCTCGAAGAACCAATAACCGATGGGGAAAATAGTTTCTCGAGTGGCAGCCACATACCGGTAGACCAAGTATAGGAGCGACCCTCTACTAGATGGAGTGACGACCTGGTAAGACACGCAAGAAGTCGATGGATGCAGGTGGCTCAGGAATGTGCTTTGTGGCATTTCTTGGGGGAGGCCTATGTTCAGCAATGGACTTGTGAAGAGCTGTAATGATGATGATGAAACTGACAGTCATGCAGCAGTGCTAGCGCTGAGATCCAACTTAGTGACCTCGAGGCTAGTTGGGGAGTACGTTAAGCGTCCAAATGCTCTGGGGTGTAACAACAGGATCGTTTTGAGCTGGGTTCGGGTCATGCGGGTATTGTAGGCAATGCACTTGCCCACAAGCTTGCATGGGAAGGCTCAAAGAGTAAGTATACAATTTAGACCTTAGCGTAACCGTGAAACTTTTTATCACAATAAAACACTTGAGATCTGGTCTGATTACACCATGCTTAAAATATTTTAATACCATAGTCCGGGCTTATGATCGTAAATTCGCTTCAGAAGCCCTGGGATTAAATGAGAACAATCCGCGTATTCTAGCAAGAGCCCTAACTGAACACTGTTGTCTAAAAATAGTACATATCCCTTATCAAAAGAAACACCTTTTAACTGGTTGTGGACCCTTAATGCGCATACGTAACACTCATTTCTCAGAATTATGTACTTAGAAGAAGTAAAATTGCTAAAGTTCCGAGCAACTGGTTCAATCGTAATCAACCCTCGGCCAGGCCCTAGCCGGACTTTAAAAAGTAAAACTCAAGATTGATTTTGTAGGCAATAGATAATATTTGTTCACCTCCAATATCTATTTGTTTCATTTACTAATCGTAAACCTGCAACGGTACACCCGGTATAAATACTAATTATCTAAATACTTTAAGGAAGACTATACCTAAAAAATATTATAGTCTTTATATTCACACTTTCTAAATAATAGTTTAATAAGAGGTCATGGAAAGTTTCAAATCTGAACAGGAACAGTGCCATACAGTTCTAAATCGAGAGCAGTCATATGTTACGCTTGTACAGTGGTACACATAAGCCAGTACTTTACTGTTTTTATGCACAACCTAATTTTTTATAGAAGAGGGGCCAAACGAGCATGCGGCTAAACTGATGGTAAGTGACTACCGCCACCCATGAACAAACGCAACACCGGATGAATTGCAGGTGTGTTGTTGGCCTTTTAGAAACGAGCAAGCTCTTTTCTTGAAGGTCCCTAGGTCGTATCGGTCTGAAAAAATCGCCAGTGTTAAACAATTCCACAGAGAAGTTTTACGAGGAAGAAAACTCCTAGTAAAACGCACAGTAGTGGACTGCCAAGCACCCCGATGGTGCGGATGGTATCTTGAATTTTGACGCGATGTGCGTTCATGAAATTTGGCAGCTAAGACTAATCCGAACAATTCCTCAGAGCACTCCCCGTGGTAGATGCGTAAAAAATAAGCGACAGTAGCCTAATAGCAGGGCGCGGACCGCGAACTCAAAAAGGTCGTGGGTTCGAATCCGCCATTCAACTACTGGCGTGAACCACTCGTAAGACAAGCAATTTAAGCTTACCACGAGGGGTAAGGGAAATATTAGTAATGTTTATAGCATTGTTAATATTATTTAAAAAAAAACGCAGCGCCAGTGAATCGCGTCGCTCAGAAAGAACTCTGTTGTCGACGATTCGAACCGCTCTGCGCTGGATGCGGTCAAGTGGAAGGAGCTGGCACTAGGGTGCCCCGGCACAGAGATGAGTGCAGTATTCCATGTGAGGCCGAATTTGCGCTTTGTAAAGTTGCAAGCGATATGCCGGCATGAAATACTGTCTCGCTCTGCTGAGCACGCCAAGCTTTTTAGAGGCCAATTTGGCCTTCCCCTCCAAGTGACCACGAAACTGCACAATATTCGATACGTCGACGCCGAGGATTCCGATGCTAGCTGAGACAGCAAGGGGAGTGCCTAGAAGCTGAGGAGATACCACAAAAGGGTTTTTTTAGCGGTAAACGCGCAAACTAGTTGAAATTCACCCTATTTATAAGAGCGGTGATGTGGGCTGTGTCAATAACTATAGACCCATTTCCATTCTTCCCAATATGTCAAAAATTCTTGAAAAAGTAATCAACAAGCGTTTGACTAATTACTTAGAGAAACATGATCTGTTATCGCATTGCCATTATGGTTTTCGATCAAAACAATCAACTCAGGATGCAGTTCATGAACTAACAGATTTCGTTGTTACAAACCTTGACCGTAAAAAGAAAGTAGTTGTTATAATCCTTGATCTAGCTAAAGCGTTTGACACAGTTTACGTCCCGCTCTTGTTGAATAGGCTAGAAGATCTTGGAATAAGAAATACATAGCTAAAACTTTTTTCTGACTACTTAACGGATCGATATCAGAGGGTAAGGATTGGTGGTTGCTACAGTGATGACCTTCCCATATCATATGGTGTACCACGGGGTAGTGTGCTTGGTCCCACGCTATTTCTTACATATATTAATACACTATGTAATCTAAAAATTCACAATGGGAGGATCATTGCCTTTGCGGATGACACGGCTCTTCTTTTCCAAGCAGATACATGGTCTGAGGTATTTAACTTCCCACAAAATGGGTTCGATTTAATAACTAAATGGCTAAAAGAATCTAAACTTACATTAAATGTCGATAAAACAAAATACATAGCATTTACTACCCAAAATATCAATGTATCTGAGTTGGAACACTTCCACATTACATCTCACTGCTGCTTCCAAATTGAAAGCCCTTGCTCCTGTCCTACCCTGTCTAGAACGAATTGCATAAAATATCTTGGCGTAATGATAGATAACACCCTAAGCTTTCACCTTCATATTGGCCTCTTAAGTACAAGGATACGTAAGTTAATTTATATTTTTAAAAATCTACGTCGTGTTGCAGATTTTAATGTAAGAAAAATGGTATATTTTGCACTGTGCCAATCATTGTTGACATATTGCATTACCATCTGGGGAGGGGCATCTAAAACGACCATATTGCAATTAGAAAGGGCTCAGAGGGCACTATTAACCCCCCCCGAACGGGTTCCCGCCTTGTCGTGGCGGGGGGCTTAGTAGCCGTGGCTTGGTCTCCCACGGTGAACAAAGAGGAACCCACGTGGCTGGCCCGAGGTGAAGGGCCGGCCTGAGGTGGCCACTCCGAGTGGGCTTGGGGAGCCCACTTCGGATGTGTGCTGGTGGACTGCAGCGAGTGGGGACTCCGCACCCTCTACCGCTGCAGCCGAGGTGGAGTCGCGGAGGAAGAGGAGTGTTGGTATGGCGACGCGCCACTCGCCCTATCCTCCGCGACTCAAACGGGGCCGCACCGTTGATGCGGTGGTGATGGGGCTGCGGGGGGAGAGGATTGTCGGTATTGCGAGGCGCAGCTCTCCCTATCCTTCGCAGCCGAATCTTGGTTGGCGGCGGAGCCATAGACCAGATCCGCCGCTGGGGTCGGGAATGCTAGTACTTCTAAGTGTTCGTTTTTCCTGGCCCCATGGCCTTCGCGCATCGGACGCGGGGGCGTCTGTTGCGCAGATGTAATTGGAGGCCGTGGAGGAAGGCGTGCCATGTGTTCTGGTGCGCCTTACTTGGGAAAGAGAACGGGGAGGAATATTCCTCTCCCGAGGAGGTGCTGCCATGGGGCGGCAGTCGCTGGTAGGGCCGCGGAAGTGTGCGAAAGCGTTCCCGTAGCCCTGCCAATATGCGACGAAGATGGAACACCATGGGGTTTTAGTCGGTGCGAGTCCGACATAACCCGTCCTTGCCCCCGCGAGGCAGGTATGCGTAGGCATTTCCCCATGTAAAAAAAAAAGAGGGCACTATTAAAAGTTAGCAAGCAATTCTCTTCCATTCCGTTGTCCTACAACTGACCTTTATCAACATTTTAATGTCTTATCTGTTCGTAAATTGTTTATATTGCACACTACGCTGCTACAACATTCTCTTATACAGTATGAGTCCTCCTATAATAATGACTATAATAATGACAAAAGAAGGAAATATGTAGTTTGTCACAGTAAGCTTCCAAAGACAAAATTTTCGCATAAACATTTTTGCTTCCTGGGAGGTTACCTTTATAATAAATTAAATAAACGTTTGTCAATTTACTCTCTACCTAAACATGCATGTAAACAAAAATTACAGAAGTGGTTGTTAAATATCGATTATATGGCTGCTGAAAATTTACTTAGACTATTATCCTAAAAACACATAACCCTACATAAATGAGTGCACACACACTATTACACAAATAGAAATAACTTTAAAAAAAAACATATAGCATCTTTCCTTGTTGAAATATTTCTTATTCTTGTATTTCTCTTGTAGTATATTTGAAAATGTATATGTGCTATCCGTTAGGGTGAGGGCCTGGTGATCTATAACACAGGGATTACCCTAGTATGGACACCAGTCTCTCACAAAGGTCAAAATTATCTACAATTGTATTATTTAAGAAATAATGTGAAATTATATACCTTTGTGAAGAGAAAAAATAAAATGATTTATTATTATTTATTTATTATTATAAACTTGTGTCTTTTGGGGATCGAACTGGACTAGATTTAGTCGCCCCCAATCCGAGATTGTTCAGCAAAGACTCGAGTTCAGACACAAGTTTGTCCCGGTATTTAATACCCTTATTCTTAAATCATCACTTTTTGACCGTCTCGTTGGTCTTGTGGTCGTAAGCGCAACTTCTGGTGGTAGTAGGTTCAAACCGGATTCAAGTAATCAGTTATTGGGGTTTTTTTCTTAAGAAATTATCAGTAGCAGCCTGGAGTCTGTGTTGGTGGGATACAACCGTGCTTTGGAAAGCTTGTACAGCCATTCGTCTAACACCTGATTTCTCGAGTAGTTGCGGTTCCATAAGATCTTACTCCCGTCCTGGACAGATAACTACACTCCATTGAGATTAGCTGCCATTAATAATATTTGGTCTGGTAGACATTATTATTAATTTGAAACAAAAACATACCTCATTATCAAAAAGAAATTACTTTATTTTGTTTTACATTCAGTAAAATTATTTTTACAGATGTATTACATGGTTGGTGTAACATTACATCAACTTCATTGCAAAAATTTATATCATTGACAAATCAATATGTAGACTTATAAAATGACATTTTATAGCTGGTTGAAAGATTAAACATGGTTTTATGTGTGGGAATGTATCACACTATCAAAGAAAATTTATTCAAACCTTAAATTAACCTAAATACTTGAACAGTATAAACTTATATGCTATTTATTTTTACAGATGTATTACATGGTTGATGTAACATTACATCAACTTCATTGCAAAAATTTATATCATTGACAAATCAATATGTAGACTTATAAAAGGACATTTTATAGCTGGTTGAAAGATTAAACATGGTTTTATGTGTGGGAATGTCTACACTATCAAAAAATGTATTCACACCTTAAATTAACCTTAATACTTGAACAGTATAAACTTATATGCTATTAGTTTACCTATGTAACCATTAATCTAAAGATAGCTAATTCTACTCTTTCATTTCTCCCTCTTCATCTTCTTCTTCTGCTCCTCTTACGTAAAGAACATTGTTGCACCTAATTAGTACTTCTCCAAGATTTCCTGTAAATATTTTAAATATAGATTAGACTGTAGATATATAGATTGGTCTGGAGGTAGAGGTTGGTGATCTGTCATACAGGGAATCCTAGTATAGACACAAAGTCTCTCACAAACTGATTCTAGCATATTATTAAGCTGTGTTTATGTTAATTTCTAAATTTACATATAAACACTCACGCCTGTCACCCAGAGGAGTAGGCAGAGACTACAGACTTCCATTTAGCACGATCCTGACATACCTTTCTCGCCTCTTCCACATCCATATACCTACGCATACATGCTCATCGGTTAAGGGTACTCTTAATTTGGCCCATTTTTAGTACAATAAACCGACTCTTCCCCTCTCCATCACTTCTGCACATTATTTGCTTTGTCAGTCTTTCCGCATTCATTCTTTCTACATGACCAAACCACCGAAGCATTCCTTTCTTAATCCTGGTCACCGCATCATCTTGGAAACCACACTCTTCTTTTATCACACAGTTTCTCACCCTGTCACTCAGATTCAGCCCTAACATACTCCTTAGCGACCGCATTTCTACTGCATTTATTCTACTCTCATGCTTCTTCTGCCACACCCAACTTTCACTACCATACGTTAAAGTAGGGACTAATACAGCACTGTGAATTGCCATACGTGCCTTTTTTGACACATTCTGACTTTTCACAATAGAGTGTAGAGCCCCATTTACTTTATTTCCTGCAGTCACTCGTCGTTCAATATCCTTATCATATAAATTTGTGAGAGAAAAGAAAACTTTATTTTTATAATTATTTACACAGAAATTTTAGAAGTAACTGGATGTTTTGTAGTAGATTTAAAAAAATACATTTGACAAACAATTGTCTTTTTTTAAATCATCTCATATTTAATTTCTTACTGAAGAAATCATATATGAGAGGGAGCAATCAAGCATGCGGATCACCTGATGGCAAGTGACTACCGCTGCCCATGAATAACTACAACACCAGGGGAATTGCAGATGTGTTACCGACCTTTTAAAAAGAGTAGTCTTTTTACATGAAGGTCCCTAAGTGGTATTGGTTTGGAAAAATCGCTGGTGGTAGTTGATTCCACAAGGAAGTTGTAGTGGTGTGTGTTGTGGAAGAAAACTTCTTGTAAATCGCATAGTGGTGGACCGCCAATCATCCAGATGATAGATATTTCATTTCTGTTCATTCATATCAATAACTTGCTCTAATCCAGAATCCCGAGACTTTTCAGCTCGAGTTACGTAACCGCTTTCAGTGCCTAGAAGATTGCAATGCAGTGGACGATATGAATGACAAGCTCGTGGAAACTGTCCATGCGGTCGGAGCTAAATTCTGCAAGACCCGCCGCAGAAGAACACAAAAACTCTCCGATCACACTCTTAATCTCATGGCTGTTAGACGGGAGATGAGGCTGCAATCGTCAACAGATTTGACAGCATACAGGCAACTGAACAGACAGATCTCCAAATGCATGCGCCAAGACTTACGCAACTTTAATACTGCTCGTATTAAAGAAGCGATCGAGCGGAACCTGGGCTCCAAAGTCTTTGCCAGAGATCTGTCTGCCAGAAAGAGCCAACTGTCAAAGCTGAAGACTGAGTGTGGCAGCATCGTTTCCAGGACACCTGAGATTTTTAGTGAGATTGAGAGGTTCTATGGGCAGCTGTACACATCATCGTTGGAGCCACACGCAAGTGTGAGTAACGATACAAGAGCAAGTCTTACCCGACACTATTCCGATGATATCCCGGACGTCAGTCTCAAGACCGCCCCAGGCGAGGATGGAATTACAGCGGAGCTTCTGAAAGCGGGTGGAACACCGGTACTTGAAGTCCTTCAGAAGCTCTTCAATTCCGTCCTCCATGGTGGCACTACTCCAGAGGCGTGGAGCAGAAGTGCGGTGGTCTTGTTCTTTAAGAAGGGCGACAACGCTCTCTTGAAGAACTACAGACCGATTTCCCTTCTGAGCCGCGTCTACGTGCTGTTTTCGAGAGTCATTACGAATCGTCTCGCACGCAGACTCGACGACTTCCAGCCTCCCGAACAAGCCGGTTTCCGAAAAGGCTTCAGTACCATAGACCACATACATACCCTGCGGCAGATTGTACAGAAGACCGAAGAGTACAATCTGCCACTTTGCCTGGCGTATGTGGACTACGAGAAAGCCTTTGATTCCGTCGAAATTTGGGCGGTGCTACAGTCCCTTCAGCGGTGCCAAGTTGACTGTCGGTATATCGAGGTGCTGAAGTGTTTGTACAGTAGGGCTACGATGGCTATACGAGTTCAGAACCAGAGTTCGAAACCTATCCAACTGCAGAGAGGTGTAAGACAGGGTGACGTTATATCCCCGAAACTCTTCACCGCTACGTCGGAAGACGTTTTCAAGCTACTGGACTGGAAAGGATACGGTATTAACATCAATGGCGAGTATATCACTCACCTTCGATTTGCCGACGATATAGTCCTTATGGCAGAATCGCTGGAGGACCTTAACACTATGCTCAATGACCACAATGGTGTCTCCCAACGGATCGTGGAGGTCTTAAGATGAACATGGACAAAACAAAGATTATGTTCAATGTCCATGTCACACCTATGCCGGTAGTTGTGGGGAGCACTATGCTCGAAGTTGTTGACGAGTACGTTTACCTGGGACAAATAGTCCGACTAGGTAAGTCCAACTTCGACCGAAAGGTCAATCGACGGATTCAACTCGGCTGGGCAGCGTTCGGGAAATTACGACACATCTTCTCGTCAGGTATACCTCAATCTCTGAAAACTAAAGTGTACAACCAGTGCGTGTTGCCAGTGATGACTTACGGATCAGAGACCTGGTCCTTCACTGCTGGCCGTATGAGGACGCTCAAGGTCGCTCAGCGAGCTATGGAGAGGGCTATGTTCGGAGTTTCTCTGCGTGATAGACTCAGAAATGAGGATATCCGCAGTAAAACCAGAGTGACCGACATAGCCCAATGGATTAGTAAGCTGAAGTGGCAATGGGCCGGCCATATAGCTCGAAGAACCGATAACCGATGGGGAAGAAAGGTTCTCGAGTGGCAGCCTCGTACCAGTAGGCGTAGTGTAGGGCGACCCCCCCCCACTAGATGGAGTGACGACCTGGTAAGACATGCAGGAAGTCGATGGATGCAGGTGGCTCAGGACCGTGCTTTGTGGCGTTACTTGGGGGAGGCCTATGTTCAGCAGTGGACTTGTGAAGGGCTGTAATGATGATGATGATGATATCAATAACAACAGTATTAATGAGTGTATGATTTAGTGGTTAGTGTATCTGGCTACTGAGCCAATATGGATAGTTACTAGTAACAGCAAACATTTTTGGAGGAAAATTTATAAATTATTGGTTTTCAAGTCTAGAAACTATGTGGTCAGTCGCTTCTCAGCGTCAGCAGCATCGTCTTCTGATTTGTAGCCTGAATGGATAGGCTCATATAGAAAAGAACCACAAGCTCACAGAATACTTGCTAAAAAATCATGCTGAAGTGCTTCATATGGTGAGTGTTAAGAATCGGTGACCCTTTGACACACATTGCAACAACACACCATTTTGATTTGTAACCAAAGAAAGATGTAGATATGTATGGGCCACAGCATCCACTTACCATCAGATGAACTTGGTGCTTCTTTGTTTCTTTGTCACCCTTATTCTATAAAAAACTTAAGAAAAATGGTAGGCTAAGATGAGGATCCAGTTAATGGCCTCTACTTATAATAACAATAATCATATTTATTTAGGCAATTCACATCCATAACCAGTAAAATCAATCTCCACCATTTTAGAAATAAATAAATCAAGGTCAAGCCAAAATCACAATTTTAAAATAATGAATCCCACAGTCCTATTTTAGATAGACAATGACGTCAGTATATAAAATAATATCATAATCGAAATCAAATAAAATAAAACTACAATTAATAAATAACAGATTCACACAATTTTATAGGTCAAAAGACAAGATGAATTAACACTTAAAACTTTCTCTGAGACAAATGTACTGTGATATGACAGTCTAACCTTTATTGATGATAAGACAGTAGTGACCCGTTTGCACATGGTGGCATGTAAATGTAAACAAACATGTAAATGTATACTATAAACAGTGACGGCCCTAGGCCGGTGCAAGCGGTGCCACCGCGCCGGGCGCCGTCATCGGGGGCGTTCCGAAATCAACCGAAACGCTACCACCGGGTACCACTCACTAATTTCACTCACTCTTATCACTAACATTCCGTTTTGTTGATGCTAATTAGGAAGTCAAAATTGTTTGTTTATTACAAGCCAGTTAGTGACTCTTCGAAAAAAGGACTTAGCGGCCTCTTTCTTGATGCAACTGTACAAGTTTTTGACTTATATAATGATTGTCGA